TCTTCCACATCGTCCATATATAGCATATACAGCTGTTTTCTACGTCCAGCAGCCCTACTTACTCCCCTTTTCATAAAGCACATCTGCCTACTCCAAGTGCATCACAGTCTTATTTTCTGACGTGTGAGCCACACTTTTTGCAGCTGCACTAAGCTATCTTTGCCTGTGCCCCTCTAAGCCAGTGCCAACCCCAAAAAACACTCCAGTTTTTCTAGGTGGAGCTCTTCTTTCCATTCACCCAGAGTAACTGCACATGCATGTACAGCCACACAAACTAGGGCAACCTGAATTCATAAAAGCAGGCAAGCTGTTGTTGGTTTTGTCTGGTTTTAGCACTGCTGCACAGCTGAAGGTGGAAAAATGGATGCAGGCAATTAACTTCCTGCTCTCTAAACACAAAGCAGTTTTCACAGTTGCCAAGATGTTAATTTCCAATCTCTGATTCTAAAATAATCTGACATCAGTTGTAAGGCAGCACCTCCTGGGATAAATTTGTTTTTTATGAGCCTCAAAAGAGGACATGCCATGTAAACTATAGTGTTGAGTGTTGCTCCATAAACTGGCCTGAATTTAGGTTTTGTTATTTACAGCTAGAGCAGCAATGCATTTCAAAGCAGTGGCTGGTTTGCAGCTAGGAAATTGAAGATGAAAGATTTGACCTTTAAAAATGTGACCTCTTTGTCTAATGAAAGTATAGTCACCTCTTCTTCCGTGCTGCTATGAAGGTCGACCTTCACCCTCCAGGCTTTGAAGTGTCACCTTCAGTTTTACACAGGAGAATGAAATATAATTCTCTCTGCAGGCTTTCAGTATTTTTTGATCATAGACACTGACAGTGAGTCATCAATTAGATAATCAGTTTTGTATATCCCTGGAAATTAGCTGAGAAAATGACGGAGAAATGTCCCCTCAAATATTTGTACCTAAGCAGACAGATCCTGCTCAGCCAGGCTTAAATCCCTTTGTGTTTCAACAAACATTTGAATTGCCACTCTTTGTTCACAGGGATATTTGGAGAGGGACCGTTTATCAGTGCTTATACACAGACAAATCCATGCTGCAGGAATTGGTACTAATGTGGTTTAACCCTACTGTGGGTGTTTGGGAGGGTGTGAGGAAACACAGGGAGATCAGGGAACAAAGCAACCAACACTTTTAATCCAGATCCCCATGATGGATGTATGGCAGCGGTGAGGAAGAGGATGAAGCCTTGAGATGTGGTGAAGTCCTTGACCAGAGACACAACATTTGTGGTCCATCCAAGGCTCACAGAAAGAGGGGCCTGAGCAGGAGCTGGGCAGCTAAAGACAAACTCCTTATGTGAACTGCCCTGCTCTAGCTCTGACCTTAAAGATAGCTGAAATGGACTTGTTTGGGTAGAAGAGGGACACACTGATAACTGTTTAGTACATGGTTCAAAATCTGACTCTTCTCTGAATGAAATGGAAAGCTATCAGCTCTGCTGTCCGGAGATAAGAAAATTGGGTATCTTGACAAGATTTCTGCCAGAGCCAAATTCCAGCTGCAAGCTAATACATCATTCACAGACTCTTCAATCCTTATTATCCTCTTTGCTATCTTGAATCAAAGTCCTCTGTCTTCTGGAGTTCAGTTCTTATTTTAACTGAGACATTTTTCTGAAGAGCAACCCTCCAATTTAGGGCCAGGTAATAAATTAATAAAACTATAGGTATAAATCATCACTCATGATTTGGAATAGCTCTGCAATAATTCAGGTCTATAAGGCTTAGCTAATGTTTCTAATGTAATATTCTGCCATGAGATTTAATTTGCCTCGCACAAGTCATTTAGTAATCTAAGCATAGATGTAGAACAAACAACTACCTATTAAACCAATATGTCCAGATACAGTGGTGTGGATTTGTCCCTCACTAGATATCATAGCAACACTAAACAGACGATTTTGGATAGATAGCCTCAGCTCTAAACTCTATTCAATTACATGTTTGTTGTTCTCTTGTTGTATTTGTTTTCCATTGAGCATCATGAGCTCTCTCACATGAGATTTCTGGGTACAAACAACTAATTTTCATTAAGTGGTTTTCTTAGTCATCTGTTTGCTATAATGCTATCTGAACATAATGCCACAAAAAGGACTCAGCCTTTTTCTATGGATTTGGACTGCCTAGTCATCACTCAGAGCTTATGACTGATGTATAAGATACCACTGAGGTCAGAAAAGCCACAGTAGGATATAGTCACAATCACCATATATCCAGTTATTTTAATTCAATTGTCCACGGTGTTCCCAACATATTCCCATGCGCTGTCCTTTGTGTGTGTTGAAATGATACTGCACTTTTCATAAGGTAATAGCAACTAGCAGTACTACGGTTGGTGGCTACTTTAGGCAGCATTGTCTCTTATGTAAGCTCGTAGTTTTCTTCTCAGAAGTCATCACATGGTGGACCTGAATTACTGTGATATCTCTCTTGGTCACAAGGTCCTTCACTATAAAAATGGTTAAAACTGGCTTTAGTCCAAAGTAACTTGTCATAAAAGAATCTCTTTCAGTAAAAAGCAATGGGAAAGCACCCACCAGTTAAAGAGAAAAATGTAAATGGAATTGAAAAGCAAAAGCTAAGACAGAAGGGTGTTCAGCCAGGACCTGACACTTTCTGTGCCTGATCCATGCTTTTCTCTGCCACCTTTCTCTAGACAGGAAAGAGTGATACACTTTTTCCTGTATCACCTGCCTGTTAACCAGGGAGATAAAATTCCTCAATGAAAAAATGAAATGCAAGGCTGTATTCTTTCAGAACTAAGCCTAAATTTTTAATTTTAAATCCCTCACATCTTCAGACAAAGCAGCATGCAGTATTTAATCTACAGGCTTCTTATTACTGTGTTTTGAATCAATATTAGCCATGAACAGTTCTACTTCTGGAGGAGTCATCACCAGTACTGAAGAGCACACTCTTGGATGGGTACAAGTTCCAGAAGAGACCATCAGCATTTCCCTTCCTTGTTTTACTGTGCCTAACTAGAGGAAACTCCCAAAAGCTCAGATAAGCCTGGCACCGCACAGCCCTAAACTTGCCTTATCATCTACCTTCCAGATTTAATTTCTCTCTGCCATCCCTCTCTTGCACTTTAGGCTAAACAACTTCTTTTTAATAAGTGTTGATTACAAAATGCCCCCATCTCACCCTGCTCAGATTGTATGAATACCCTACTGCTAGACTGTTCTGAACTTGACCCTCATTCTGTATCCAAATTCAATGATACAGCCATTCATCAGCTTGATTTTGGCAGTGTTATACATGCCCTCTGAAACATTGTTTTTGGCAGGCTCTCAAAGCACGAGTGACTTTCAGCATACAAATCTCACTGACTTGCTGCATCGTCTCCTTCGTGATCCTTGATCAGCAGGAGTTCAGGACCTCGGCTGACTAGCACAAAACCCAAAATAGTAGGTTTGATAATGCAAGTCTGAATAACAATTAAAATGTAATCTCGATGACAACAGCTGGTATGTGCCTCTATGCTGCTGGTTGTTGGCATGTGCTCTGTCACTGCTTTTCTCAAACTATGTTCAGGTGAGCTGGTCAGCAGGCAGAAGGTGTCCAAGAAGCACCTGCATCTTGTCCCTAAATTAAGCAAAAGTTGCTGTAAGTTGAATTGTCCCACCAAGGACTGTCTGGAGATGATAACTGCAAAGAGCAGGCCCCTGAATCACAGCCTTTTTTGGGTTAGAGAAGCAGTAGTAATGACTCTACACCACTTTGTAAGCTTTGGAAAATTTTAGAAGCATTTCTATTCTTTTTTTTTGAGTGCCTGCAGTTGAATGTTATTACCCCTGTGCTACCAATGGGGAAATGGCAACACAGAACAGACCTGGGACTGTCCCAGCCCTTGAGATTTTCTACTTGATGGACCAGTCCTCAGGCTTTTTCCAAGATTGCTGGATCTCACCTCTTTAAGTTCTCAAAGCTTCAGAGAAAAGTACGAGGTGCCCTGGGATCCTATGCAATATGTGAGTGTCCCTGCAGCAGTTCTTTGGGAAAGCAGTAGGAAGTATTTGGTTGCTGCAGTGCTTTATATAACCCAGCAATTAAATATCCACATGCAAAGGCATCTGGCCCCCTGTACCTGAAGAGATGTGGTGAGGATCTGCTCAAGTTCACTAAGGCACAACTGACATCACTGCACCCCAAACACCCCTCTTCAGAAATCCCTGCAGGAAAAATCCTGAAGGAGCTACTTGGACAGTGGCACCATCCTCCACTCCCTGAGAGGGAACCCTCAGGACCAGAAGTGATTCAGCAGAAGATGATGCAGTGCAGAATTGATTTGCTTGGCAGAGAACCCATTGCAGGTCTACTAACAGTGCTGTACAACACCTCTTTCGCTGAAAATGAGAAAAGCCAAAATATTTGCCTCTCACAGAAGGGAGATACCAAAAATGATGCTGTTTAGCATTGTTTTCTGTAGATAATATACTAAACCAGCAAGTAGGAACCAGCCTTCATAACAGTAATCCACACCTTTGCTCTTTCAGCCATGCTAACTGGAGTCTTTGTATTCCTCAGTGGCCTGAGAGGTGAATCCAACCCTTACCAGAGCAGATCTTTGGGCCCATTTAATGAAGGAAGAGACAAACACTCAGACTACAAAAATGATTCCTCACTGAGTTGTGCGCATTTCATGCCATTAAATAACTGTAGTAAAAGCTGTGTTTTAAGCCAGTAAAACTTTGGTTTTGCCTGATGAGGGATCAGGTTCTGGAAAACACATCCAGAAATAAAACAAGTAAAACAGAGCAAACAGCTCTGTCCTATCAAGGTGATTTATATCCTGTTAACCAGAAAAAGAAAAAAACCAACGTGAACAAGAGACATCTGGAAGTGAAAATTAACTAAAACCAGACCAGCGACATAAACAAGAGAGAAATACAGCCTCCAGATCTGTGTAGCTGAGCCTGATGGATATCACAAACTGGATTGCTTGGGGTTTTTATTTTTAAAAGAACACAACAAATCAGGGAGGATATTTTCCATTTAAAGCTATAACTTCGTAATTCAGGGATTTGTGAGGGCATAAAAGACACAAGCACAGAGGAAAAGAATCATCTGCCAACAGCTCTACATGCATGTTGGTCTCAGAACAAATTCAATAACAATAATCATTATTTGAAAATAATTTTGGTTGCCAAAATTGATAATTAATATTATTTACAATCTGGTGTATGACCACCTGTAGGTTTAATTGAATTTAAAAAAACATACTTACATACAGTCACATAAATAGTCATGCACAACTATTTGAAAATAATAGTTTTAATTTTAATTTTAAAAAAGCTAGTTGACCAAGAAAATTTTCCCCTGTAGCAATATATTCTTACACTGAGGGCTTTTGCTCTTGGTAGTGAAGGAATTTCTGAGTTTGGTGCATTGCCTCTAAATGTGTGAGAAAGGCTGTAGATGCTCCTAGCTGAAGAAAATCTGTTTTTCACCTCATCGCTGACTTTGAAACCACTTTACTATTTTCTTGATTATCTAGCTATGAAATCTTCATCCAAACTGCAGTGGGATCTGCCATCTGTTTGATTCCCCTGCAGATCTGGGCAGAGCAGTTTTATGATCTGCTTCCACGCCTATAATATACTGTATTTTTTTAAAGGTGGCAAACACTACTGATTAAAAAACTGGGGGGATGTTGGTTTAGTTTTTCATTTTCAGTGTTAGCTAAGATATCTTCATGGAGTTTTCACTTGCTCATATCACCCCCAAACCTCATCAAAGCAAACATTCGCTAAAATAATTGTCAGCTAAGATCAGAAAAGATCAGGTTTTGAATTATATACCATTAGATCTTATGCACCAACAATACTGCCTTCCAAATTCAGAGTCCATAACATTTTTAAGCCCAGAAGTAATTTTCAAGTACCAGTCTGGTTTTGAAGTGCTGACAGATTAAAATGCTCTCTTGCTTTACTTAGAAGTTGACCCAGTTTGACAGAAAAATCTTCAGGAGAAAGTAAATGTAGAACTTTGCATTTTATTTGGTACTGCTTCACAGTCTACAGCAATGCTCTGGAGGTCAGTAATGTTATCCAGGTGCTAAAAACCGAATCCTGCATCAAAACTAGAAAGGTGTACCTGGTTCTTTTATTCCTGCATGGAAATGGTGAGGTCTTTCTGTACGGTACCACATCCGTAGTGCACTCCCTGTGTGACTATTTTGTCCTGCTCCTGCACAGAAATAATACCATGTCAGTAATTCATAAGTATTACAGAGGCCCTTGCTGTGCTTCTGAAGTCATCAGAATCTAGTGAAAACCAGTATGTAATTTAGTTTGGTTTTGTGTGACTTGTGCAGTCCTTGTAGCTTCTTTACTTACGTACATTGTGCAACTGCCACGTGACAACCTCCCCAAAGGTGGTCTGTGGGATAAAAGATCCTGCACAGGTCTGCAGGCTGGGTTGGGCCTCAGAGAGGACTACAAAATGCAAGGTGGAAGGAAAACACTGAAATTGAAAAAGGGAAGAGTCAGAGAGACTTCATTTTCCAAATCCTGTAGATTCTCAGGCATCAAAGCTACGAATAAGAGACTTGCTGAATTCTTCTGCCCCAGAGTGGAAATTCAACACAAGTGTCACTGGGACACCTGTAGTGATTCCCAGGGACTGAAGGCATGCTTTGCATCCCTCATCCATGAGGTGAGCATGATGGTAGGAAGACATGGGATGTTCCAGTACAGATCTATGACTCTTGACCAGGTCAGAAGCCCTATGAGGAGCTGGAGAGTGTAGGGGGTTCTTCGGAGATAATTTTCATGATGTGTTGTAGTGCTGATGTTTATGCTGTCCCTTTTTTATGTTTTCTTTTGCCATATGAGATTGAATATTGAGTATAAGTGACTTTATATCATAAAAAAAAGATATTTCAAATGAGTCAATAAACCATTTATCTCTGTTCCTAATACAAGCATTTTTCTGTTGGTTATCCAGGAACAGAAGAAATGTTAACAGATACAATTCAGGACAAACATGAAAATCATACATTTTAAAGGCAATAAACTGATACAAAACTTTATCAGACTCGAGTATACCTGTTGGAAATCACACATCTCAAAGGCAATAAGCTCACACAAAATAATAAACTGACACAAAACTTTATCAGCCTCAACTATACATGTTCAAAAAAGAAAGCCCTACTTGTTTCCATGTTAATTAAAACTCTGAATATCTACAGTCTGAGCCAGCACACCCAGTGTGACAGACCAGTGATGCAGGTGACCTTTGTGACTTATGCATCAGTGACAGAGGGGTGGGGGCTTGCCTGCCATGCTCTGTTCTGGGGACAATGGCACACGTACAGGATCTCGCTCCCAATGCTTGTTGCTGATACAGCTGTTGGTTTCACCTGCACACTGGGCTGGGCAGGCAGCTAACACAGCAAGGGGTTGGGAAAACCTAAGGTAAAGAGGAGAAAAGTGATGATGTCCAAAAACAGTAAGAGAGGGGAAGCTGCCCATAAAGAGCCACCTTAGGGGCAGGATGTCAGAAAGTGAAGTCAGAGAGGCACCCCCTGGTGTTACCCACCAGTGGCCATAAGGAGGAGGAGGGGAATCATGAAAAAGATGTCCTGGTGCCTTCCCTGTGTACCTCCCTTGCCCTTCTGTTCTTGACTCCCTTTGCCTTGGATGCATCCTTTTGCTCTGGCTGCTCGAGCGTATGGTGCTTTGTTTCCAGTGCCAGGGAGGATTTGTGAACAAGCTCTGTATGCTTCTTGCATTTCTTGGGCTGAGTCCATCTCGGGTGGATGGTCAGCCTGGAGCACAGGAATGGGCACAGGCATGTCTGTGATGTAGCTACAGAGGTAGTTTAGGCAAAGAGCACAGGTAGAGTGCTCAGCTTAAAAGCTCAGGGAAGAGTGGCCATTCCCACCAAGACTTCTCACAGTGTTTTCTCAAACCTTTGATTCAAGATGTGACACCTGCAACCCTTACCTAAGCTGGCCCCGAGCCCAGGCATTCAAGAGCCTGGGAAGGATAGGAGGGTGTGTTAGGGGCCTGACAGGTAGTGCTTGTTACAGCTAGTAAGCCTGACACAGAGTCCACAAGCATTTGCTGCTCCTCTGCTTAGAGGAACATGGCTCATCACCCAATGGCTTAGGAAATTGTTGTGTGTTTGTGGAGGACACAAGGCTTCTAACTGAAGGAACTTGAGAGAGACCAGCAATGGGTGTCTCCAGGAAACAGTGCTAAGTTTGCTCCTCCTGAAGGAAGGGATGTGGGTGCAAAGCAGAAAAATCCTCTGTGAGGGAAGAAAAGCTGCTCATCCAAGAAACAAGCAGTATCTGAGTGAGCAGTTCACATCCACTCCATTTCCCACCATCACAGGAAGCATCACATCTGCTCCAGAAAAAGGGCATCTAAGCTGGAGCTAGATCTTTAATGTGCTCATGTAACAGATACTTGTGTAAAACATGCAACAGGCTATCCTTAAAAATCAAGACCTCTGCCTGCAGTGGCACTGAGGTGGGCACAAGATGTGCTCTAAGTACCAGCCTTGTATTCTCTGGTTGTTTGAAGACTTGTTGTCATAGACTTTATCTGCAATTAATTGGTTTTTCTAATGTTATTGCTTTATACAGTCTAATTCTACTTGCCAAAACACTAATGTGTTGTAATTTTTTCTCCTTCTATCACTAACTCGCTATAGTAAATTGCATGGCAGCTTTAAAAATCAATCATCTTGTTTTCTGAAGAAGTGAAGAGCCACTGTTTAGAGGAGGAGAAGGAAACCTATAGAAAACACATTGGCTCAAAATTCATGCCGTGTACCTCAAATTCCTTTCACTGTGTGCATGGTCTCAGTTTTCCACCCTGAGTGTGGCTATTTATCAAAGAGCTCTTGGTCTGACTGTGGCCTCTGTGGCGTTCTTCGCATTGTCCCTTGTCCTCTGTACCGTGTAAAGTAAAGATTGCTCTGGGTATCCCAGAATATCCTCCCATTTCTTTCATCCTCCCACTGAGAATCAGGTCCTGCCAGTTGTACCCCAAGGTTAGTAGCAGAATTAGCAGGTCCTGATGTGACCCTCATCCTACAGCGCTTTGCCTCGTCCTATGCTGTTGTGTCACGCTAACACAACATCCCTTTCCACTGCAGCAGAAGTTCCACACAGTGACCTCCCTCAGCAGCATCCATGTTGGCCACAGTCCACCTCCCTCACACTTGAGCTTTCCCCATCCCTCTGTCCATAAGGTGAGGACATTCAGGATTCCCATTCCGCTTAAATAGCTGCATGATACTTTTTCAATACTGTTTGCAAACTGTAACTCTTTGGAGTGGTCTCTGCCAAAAGGAGGGGAACAGTGTTGCTTCAGGGCTCTTATGGCTGACACACATAATCCAGTGTCTGCAGCTGGGTCAGTGGACTAGGAGCACCCCAGGCAAGAGGTTTGTTAGGGTCCCTCCCCACATACCTACCAGTGGCTGCTGTCAGAGACGAGGTAAAGGGCTGGGCAGAGCCTTGCAGGTGGCCAGGCTGACCAGTCTCTTACCCTGCACGGAAAATACCACACAACATGCAGACATGTCAGTCAGACAGGAGTCGGCATCTGTCACACAAGGGGATGGCTGCACCTGCAGAACAGAAAAGCTGGAGTTTGCTGACTTGCACCTACTTATGCAAACACTTACAGACCTGCAATGACAAGAGGCAACTTCTGCCAGCACTGGAGAAGAGGCTGAGATTCCTCAGTTCTGCTTGCATTTACTTCAGGGCAGATGTAGGAGAAATCTAGTGGAAACAAATCATGGTACACTCAAGAAAAGAAAAGGAGGAAAATGCAAATAGTACAGAACACTGTGGTGTTCACAGTTTAAGGTGCAGCTCCACCAGGTTTCTTGACAGAAACTAAATAACAGAAAACCATGGAGGAGGGGGACCTCACAGGTGCTTTTTAACCCTTTACATTGATCTTTCCAGAAGAAGAAATTATCTAATTCCTCACAAGGTTATTGTAAGTTACCTACTGACCTTAAGAAAATGCCCAGGTATTCCAGGGACACTAGGACAGAATGTGGTGCTGTTATTCAGAACTACAAAGAAAGAAAGAAAAAAAAAAAAAAGGAAGAAGAAACACAGTATTACAAACCAATTTGACTGACTTGGCAAATGTGCAGGGTTAATTGCCACTTTATTGCTAAGGATGAAGATAATAAAATTGTATGGCTCCGTTTTTCTCGCTGTGTGTCAGAACTCCTATCAATTGCAGATGTAATAATGCTTCTCCTGAAGTAATATAGATATGCTCTTTGTGTATTTATGTGCTCTTTGTGTGTTTTCTGCTTTCTGACCTCTTATCTTTTCCAAGTCCTCCACCCTTTCTCTGTAAGTGTTGGTGATCTTAATTTATCCTGTTGTGGTAATTAGTCCCAAATGTATTTCTGTTCCATTCCCTTTGGAGAGGACACTTCACAAAGCTTCAGAGTAATCAGGAAAGTCATCACAAGCCATGAGAACTACTTGCCTACAAAATAGCTATAAACTTCCCTTTCAAATCAAGACATGTTCTGAGAAATACAAAAAAGTTATGAAAAGATTATTTATATCGATATTACTGAAAAAAACCAGATGCTACGTGCCTGCTCTGGAGGGAAGTAGAATAATGGAAACCACACCCTCCCTCCTGCCTCCACATAGTTGTGTGGCTTTTGGGACAAAGCTGCTCAAGCTTTGGAAGTCATGCTGCAAAGGTTCAAGAACTTCATTGATCCCATAGCAAGTAACAACCCAGGGGCAAAGGAAGATCACAGAATGGCAGAGATCTTTCTTTATTATCTAAAAATTGTTATAAAACAGCACTAAACCAAACACTGCAAGTGGATATATCTAGTTGCCATCTGGCTTCTGGAAAGACTGAGTGTAAGCTTTACCTCAGTTTTGTTAATCTCTGCACAAGTTTTGATCTTGTAACTGGTTATTTTGTGTTGTTAAAGGTATAACGTTCACTGGTTTTACCACTTTTTTTTGCCTAAACCTACTTCTTTTGATCCCTACTCCCTTGATGTCTCTTTTTGGCCTATGTAAGAGCATACATAAACTGAGCATAGTTCATAAAGCATGATGTACTTCCTATAAAGCATCCTAAGACTTTCTTAAATGGTCTAAGGAAGTTTCCCAGTGTTACTACTCCTTTCTCTGCAAACATGTGCTGCTTGTTCTTCAGGTTAGGGTGGCACTATTTTCTCAATACTGCAGAGCCATCCCACAAGCCCATCAGCCTGAATTGGTGCTGAACATTTCATTTCATCCTAACTCATACCTGTTACAAAACCACTGAAGCTGATGCCTCTATTTGTTCCCTTATACCTGTGCTGCAGGAGACTGGACCTTTCTCATCAGTTATTATCAATGGGCATAGCTTGATTGACTTTGCCAATACTACACTTGTCTCCTTACAGGGTCTCTTCTGACAAATCATTCTCTGACACTGACTTTGTAACCCCCCATCTCCTCCTTGGGGACCTATAAAGTCTGAGGCACCTTGAGAAGACACATTTTGGGGCCTGGGCCATCAGCTGGTGATGCACCTGCCAAAAGCTTGCAGCTACCAGTCACATAACAAACTAACTGCTGTGCAAGATCTCTGCTTTCTTAGATCTGAACTCCAATGTGGAGAGGTCGGTGGGACCCATACAGAGTTGTCTGAACTCACCTGAGATACACAAGCACAGCAAAGTTATCAGGCAATTGTTTTTTTTTCTTCTGCTTTCTGTGTTTTGTGAAAAAGATTTGTCATTCCTCCATGGTGGACTGACACAGGCTGTGGGTTCTGCCAGCTGAGGACAGGTGCTGGCAGGACACATGGAGACGGGAGGACTCAGAAAAGGACAAAAAACCCCTCAGACCTTCGCTCTCCAGGGAGGATGAAGTGAGTGTGGATTATGAGCTAGAATACTCAGTAAAGGGCAGCAGAGGTTGCAGCCTTTACAGTCAACAGTGAATCCACAGTGTGTGGTGCCAACAGTGAATCTGGGAAAGGCCAGAGTGGGTATGAAGAGAACAAAGCACCATATTTCATGTCACCTGCTGCAGTTGCAGAAGGGTGTGAGACCTTACCATGCTTGATGCAATGGCTGTTCACATCTTTCCACCACTTTTCCCAGAAAGTTTCTGTTTAACCATCAAATAGCTAAGGTCAGGTGCAGGTAAGGATGGAAGTGCTCATTTTCACTTTCTACAATACAATGCTCTCCTGTTGTGGGATGAGGGAGCTCCTTCTAGATCGATGCTGTGCACACAGAATTATTCAGACAGGTGATATTTCCTGTGCATTATGAAGAAATAGGAGCTTATGGGCACTGTTCATAAGCAGAATCCTTTGCAAACTGCTAGTGAATTAAAGAAATATTTTTCAAATTACACAGGCAAAAAATGTCCTATTTTGAAAAACTACAAAATGTTCTCTCTGCAGGGAGATGTGAAGAGCAATTATGCTCCCATCTTTGCAAACATGGATTACAGAACTGAAAATGTATTTTGCTTTACAAAAACTTGCTTTGATTTTGTTCTAGTAATACTTGAGAATCTGCACTCCCAAATCTGCAAAAAGATGATAAAATATTTTAAAAAGGTAAATGTGCTTCCAAGCCACACATGAAGGGTAGCGATTGTTCTGTAATTCTATTTAAGCCTAAAATATTTGATGGCTTGGTGCTCTTGTCGTATTTTAATGGTATTTGCTGTAATCAGGCAGATTTATGTCCAGCTCTGCTCAGACATTCTCATTTTTAATCCAAAATTTGCCTCTTCATCCAGTAAAGTATATGCTACTTCAGTGTATGTCAGAAAGCAACTCAGAGTCTTGGCAGGAAGATTGTAGGTTCAAGTGGAGATAACATGGAGTCTCTTTTTCTCAATTCTCTGGACATAATGCCCACTAGGGACTGACATTAATGGGAAAAGGAACTGTATTTCCTTACAGGGACATTTCTTCTTGCACCTCTGTTTTCTCTCTGGTTCCCTGGTGCAAAACCCTCTGAGTTTTTACAATACTGTCAAGGGAGGCTCTATAGGCACTTGCGATCCCCAGCACATCCTTCTGAGAAGACTCAGGAGATGAATCTCAAATTAGGCACTGGAAGACAGAGTGACCTAAAATCACAGGTTATTGGCAGAAATCTTGAGTCTTTGTCGAAATCATCATCTACCAAAATAGCCATCCATGCTTTCTGTTGGCTGGATATTTAAATTCTGATTGATATTATAGTTTGTTTCGTGCTTTCTTAAAAAAACCTGAAGGGGAGGGGAAGTATAACCATACCTACTGAAATAAATGGTTGCTGTCCCCTGGCCTGTGACAGTAGCATTTATCTTTTCTACAGTCCATGTGAGGGGAAGGGAGAGAAGTCTCCTGCTCTTGCTTAGCTATTTTCTGTCAAAAAAATCTTAGTATAATTTTTGTACAGTGAATATTTATAACTGTTGTTACTGTCAATATAATTTTTTGCAGTTACTGCGCTTATTTACATTTTAATGGCCAAGTCAATAAAGATTTATGCACCTGTCATCTGAATTTTCCACAAAAGCAGTGATTGCTTAAAACCCCCAGTATCTCCTGCAAAATACTCCCCCCTCAAGCATCTTTTAGATGCCTTCATTGTTTTGGGAAATAGTAGGCTAACCAAGTCTTAAAGACATAAGTCAAATCCAGCAAAATCTTGCAGCAGTTTTCATGTCAAAACTTCTGCATATTACAAAAGCACTTGCTCAGGAACCATTTTTTTTTTCCATATATTATTTTAAACACTGTCCCTTGAGCAGCAAAGTCTGGTTTATCACTTTGTTTCATCTCAGATGCACAAAGTACATTGCTTTTGTAGCTTGAGGAAATACGCTGCTTAGCGTTGACCTTGTTTTGATTTTAATGCAGTGAAAGGTACAGTTCAGAGCCCTGCTTTGTGGGGTGTGTAGGCACACTATTCAGGAGGGACATGCTATGCTCCAACATTCACTCCCATGCACACATTACCCTCCTTCAAAATGTGAACTACAGAAGAGGAAACCTGAAGTCATTCCCTCTGCGCCTGCCCATGGTCTTGGCGCAGGAGTTCGGGCTGCCAAGGCACGTGCGTGCCCTCATTCTGGCCATAGTTTTCCTGAAGGCAGCCACCCCACAAGCCTTTCTTATCTCTACCCAGAGGAGTCCAGTGAGTTCCACACCACTGTTTCACTGCAGCAGGGGCTCTGCAGCATCAGGTCCCTTTCCATTCCCAGACTAATGCAGTTATTTCTCTGCTGCCCATCACTTGCTGGATTTTACAGTGGGCTGGTGGTTGCAGGGACAATAAGGAGAAGCCGGCTCTCTCCAGAGATCTGTTCTCTCTCTGGGGTGTACTCTCACTCCAGGTAGAGTTGAGCCAGGTCTGTTTCAGCTGAAGCTCAGGGTCTCAAAGACATGTAGAATTGCAAGGTTTCTGATCATTTTAGGCTGGGGTTCAATGTCTTCTTTTAGGATAGAGTTGAGATTTGAGGGTGAGGTGAAGCCAAGGTTAGGGACCAGGCTTCAGAAGCATCTGAGCTTCACAACCTGCTCATTCATAGATCATAGATCCTACTGTCTCAATGCAATCACCTGCACTGGAGCTGCAAAGAGGCACGTCACAGGCGCAGGGCTGGAGGAGCCCTGGCCCCTCAAATGGCTTCGGTGCAGAGCTCTTGCTCTTACACAGCCTGGCTCACCCAGACTATGTGGCTGTAACCAGAGCACTGTCAAACCTGTCCTACATGCCCTTGCTCTGGTCTCCAGATTCTTGCAGCTTGCGCACAAACACACATTTTAATCGTGACACTAAAAGATATTTTCTCCCGTAAGGGCAATTCCCTCTCCAGCTTCGACCATCCAGAGCCCCCCTCCCCAAGCCCCTAAGCACCCCAAGCAACGCTTCCGAGCACCTTCCCGAGAAAAGGAGGAGGCCGAGGGGGTTCTTTCACTTCATCTTTCAAAACCTTCAGCCGCCGTCCCCCCGCCTCACCCGAGATATTCCAGTAAATTACACCCCGGGGGTAGATCCCTGTGCCCCGCGGCCACCCCCTGGTAGGTGGTATTTCAGCCCCCTCTCCCCGCCGCTCGGCGGCCCGGGGCGGGGGTCCCCGAGCGGCAGCAGGAGGCGCGGTGAGCTCGGGCCGCGGCGAGCAGGGCGAGCCTGGCGCTGAGCTGAGCTCACCTCCCTCCGCCCCCCCCCAGTTCTCTCCTCCCTCCCTCTCCCCTCCCTCCTCCTCCGCCTCCTCCCGCGCCCAGCCTGCAGCCGGGATCTCAGTATTATGGCATCGAGGAGAATGGAGACCAAACCCGTGATAACGTGTCTGAAAACTCTCCTCATCATCTACTCCTTCGTTTTCTGGGTGAGTGCGGAGCGGCGCGGCGCGGGCACACACCGACCACCCGGGCACGGCCCCGGCACTCCCGCGGCCCCCACCTGCCCGGGGCGGGGGGCGGCGGGGTCTCCGCAGCGCGGATCTGCCGCGGGGGCACCGCCGTGCCGTGCGGGGACGGACTGTATCCGCCGGAATATATATGTGTATACTCATATATGTGTATTTATATACACACATATATATATGTGTGTGTTTATATTTTTACATATATGCACTTATATATATGTATATATACATTTATATATATACGCACTCATATATATGTATATATGTGCACATATTTATACACACACACACATATATATATATATATTTAAAGTAATGTTTTTTGCCTCTTCTCGCGCCGAGCACATACCCCCCGAGCCCCCGCCGGGGAAAGTTGCAGAGGTCTCTCTGACAGTCGCCTTGGCCGCCCCCCCTCCCCGCTGCTTCCCTTGGCCAGCCGGACCGAGGGTGGGGGGGCTGCAAGACTGCCCCCGCCCGTGTCCCGGCTGCTGTCGCATCCCTGTCCCGCTGCGGGGCCCGGAGGTGCCACCTCGGTGCCCCCCGGTCCCTCCCCGGTGCTCACCTGGGCTCAGCGGGTGCTGCCCTCCGCCGCCGCCCGCGGTACCCGCCGCGGTATCCGCGTTTCGTAACCGGGCTCAGGCTCCCGCAAACCATTTTCCTGACCCAGATGCATTAATTGAGTTGCCGCGATTGACTGACGGGGGAGCCGGGCCGTGTTTTTCAGGCGACCCTGGGGGCTGGGGGGTTTCGCAGCGTCCCGGCCTGTTAGTCGGTAGATCCCTGGCAGGAGCCGCGTATCGCGGCGGCGATCGGCAGATTAAAGTCCTTTTAATGGCACGCGGTGACAACACACGATAATGGCCCCGCTGTGCGCCGTTAGAGACCGTGATCCGCACATCATCGATACCGTGCCCTAAGGCGCATTTGTCACTTCCTAGCAAGGGGAGCTGATTGTGCTTTATCGGTTTAGTAGCTTTGTGCTGTGAATAGTGCCTGCGAAACAGGGTGACTCAAATTTTCATCATTCTGCTTAAAAATGCATTCTAAACAAAGAATTGCTTATTCACGGCGATAACGTTTGACAGCGTTATAGTGAACACATTACTTCAGCTGTTTCAACTTTAACTGTTTTTTTTTTTTTTTAAAGCATAACCAAAATGCATTTTGCTAATCCATATTTACAGCAGTACCTCTGTGTTACTGACCCCCCCTGCTCCCCGGTATTTAACGTACACCCCCTCCTCCTTGTTCTTTAACAATTTTGGCGGTAGCCGCAGCAGATGTATTTGATGACTGAAATGGATAAAAAGCCAGAATCATCTGTTGGTTTTTTTTTTTTTGTTGGCAAGTAGATCCTTCACACTAGTCTCAAGGAGGTAGGTTGCTAAGTTTATACACTTACCACAATTTCAAGACTCATCCTTTCCAGTCCTCAGTTCTCAATGGATCTATAAGAAACCTCTCTTCTTCCTGTGATGAATGAGCAATTCCAGGATCACTGGCGAATTCAGGGTGTCTTTTAAAATTGTGTCTTCTTTTAAAAGTGATTGCTGTGTCTGCTGTAACCCGAAAAAACAGAGGACTTAGATCGGCATGTCTGTTGAGCTAGCACATTTCACCAGCGCTAATCTCATTAAAAAAGAGAGAATTGTACATTGAGCCAAGCAGCTGGCTAAGGGCATTTGTGCTGTAGGCTGTCGTGATGCCAAGCCAGGTTGACAGCTGGGACCTTGTAGGGTAAATAACACAGTTGAGCTCTGGTTTAGGCTCCAGCAACACAGCTGTGCTGGTGGGATCCTCTCCTGCAAATTATTTTACTCTGAACTATGTGTCAGGCTCCTGTGTGTCCTGGTCTTCTCCAAGGGCATGTCCCACTCTTCTAGTTACTTAACATTTGGCAGCCCTCAGAGTGTTTGTCCACTTATCATCTTCCTTGAGCCCAGAAACGGAGGAAGAAATAAACAGTTGGAGACAGAATCCTGCAACCATGAGCAAAGGAGAGTGAACTATCCTACTTGCTCTTTCATCTGGTTTCTCAAGGCACCAACCTATGGAAACCTAGGCAGGTCTCAGTGGGGGAAGACAGCAAAAGACTTTTAAAGGTCCAAAATATTTGACAGCAGACCCTAAGTCTTCATTAGTTCTTCCATGCTAAATAGAAGAACAAAAACTAATTCACATTTGACCCCCTGCTGAGCTTTAAGTCCAAATAACATAAACTGGAGCAGGTTACAGTTATTGCCATGAGTAGAGCAGAAACCTAGTTCACTTTGGCCGTATGATCCTTTTCTTTTTGCAGGCAAGTCTGAGAGCTGAAAGATGCATGGACTTGCCTCAACCCTCCCTCCATTATTTTCTAGGGTGCTTTTTGTACTCTCACAAGCTGCTGGCTCCAGAGCCAGTGTAACTTGAATTTAGTCCCTGTGAATTCTCAGAGCTGAAAATATGGGAAGGATTCTATTGGAGGAACTATTTAAAAAATTTATTTCTTGGACTGATCTAAATACCAGAAGGAAACCATGCCAGCGCCACAAATGGCTGGTTTGTAAATTTTCATTCTGACGGCTTTCCCACATTTTTTGGAGAGGCTGCAAGCTGATTTCTGAAGGAGAAAGCCCGGCGTTGCTTAGCTGCAGTTCGTATGGATTTTTTTCCTAGCTGTGGGGATGGAGCTGTGTTATAACACAGGGCAGAAAGTTGTCCTGTGACAGGGTGGTGTGTGGTGGCAATCCTTCAGTTATCAAGCCAAGTGTTTATGGACTCCGACGTGAGGGGACAGGGGGAGAAGATTCTTCTGTGCATCCAGTGAGCTGTTTTGAACCATCATGAAGGACTTCTCTTCGTTTACATTGTTTATAAAATAAGAAAATCAATGTACACAGAAAGCTCGTATAACAGGTGATTGTCAGGGTTAAATATGAATTGCATTTGTATCAATGGGAGAGGTGCATACGAGTGAAGGCTTTTAGTATGAGCATTGAATGAGGCTCCACTGACTACATGGGAGCTGCAGGACCGTAATGAGGAGACATGGTTCATTCAAATTTCATACTGTGTAGCTTGTTCCTCTCCAAATAGGTTTTATTTAATGGTATTTGTTGTTTTGATAGCTTCCTCTCCTCCCCCTCACCACACTTCCCAACTTCTTTCCGTAAATGTATCAATATGGTAAAAAAATTCCATAAACAGAGATAACAAGCTTTTTATGTTCTCATATGTATTGTTATTCATAGAACACATTAAGTGCCTAAGGTTACCACTTTTGGTCCTTAAGGGATGTAGTAATAAAAATTCAACAGCCCTTTTTTTCCTAATCAGAATTCTGTACTGAATGCATCTGATTTGGAACTAGAAGATTAAAAAAAGGTGATAAAAGCTCTGCTTGGCTGTTAGCTATTTTTATTTTTTTCCTTTTGGGTATCATAAATTGCTTGCATAGAAATCCGAGATATAACCTGTCTTGTTTTTAAGAGAAGATGAATTTTGGATTAGAATTCAAAGTGACTTTTTTTATATATAGGAGAATGAAACCTTAAAGCACCTCTCAGTACCTTGTAATTATCTAACACTTAAGTAACCTTTTGTCTTAAAACATGTGTATATTTAATAATTCATTGTAGCCTTCAAAATATATTTTGTTACCAAAATAACTACCTGCCTGTCTGTGTTTTGGGAGGAAGCTTTAAGGGTGCATGCATTGGTCCTTAAAGTCATACGGCTGCAGAAAACGGGTTTCATCTTCCATGCAAAGCTTCTTGTTGCCCCAAATAGGCACCGTAGCAAAGTGATTACCTTCCAATTTTAGGCCCTGTGAGACACTTGGCACTCAAATGAGTGCTTTGTGTGTGCTGTACTGCTGGTATTGGGTTTTCTTGCTGTTCATTAATGTAATAAAAGCATAGAAGTAGAGTTTCCACGCAGATATTTTTCCAAGGTGAGTCACTGATCTGAAGAGCACCTTCCAAAGTCAATGTTTTGGAGACTGCATTAGGTTCTTGGAACTTGGCTTGTCTTTTGTAATGTGACAAAATCTGAACTAAGATAGCTATTTGCAATAGTGGTAGTTTAGTTTTCCAAGTTTTTATTGCTTTGAAAATGGACCTGTGCATCCTGGTAGGACCCCTTGAGGGTTGGCAAGTGGCAGGAGATCCGTGGACTGGAGTGTGGTGGGACAGGTAAGTGTTGCTTGGCTGTGAGGCCACAGCCAGCGCTGTGGTTTTAAACCAGGTTGAAATTGCATGTTTTCTTGTAGTTCATCTTCTTTTAGCCAGTTCCTCTGGTGGCTGCAGTGTCACTGGTGTGGAGGTCAGGGGGTCAGAAGGTGGCCCATGAAGGATGACAGGCTCAAGCCCTCTCTAGCATGGGGGGCACTGGGAGAGTTGGTGTCTCCTTTGAATCCTGCTCCCCTCCTCCCCCCATTTCCATCTTCTTTCAGGCTTCCCGAAAAGGAGGTCAGTGGTGGGGGGCTGTGAGTGGTTGTGGTGCTGGGACAGGCAGCTCCTGATCCTTGTGCTGTGGTGGTAGGGTGGAGGCAGCATTCACCCACCATTCCGGGAGCTCACAAAGCCATTTTCCGGGAAATGCCTGAGACAAAGAGCAAGTGGCCTCCCCTGTAACACAGATTTATGGCTCCACTGCTGACCCATCTTCAAATGCAACCTTTTTAACCATGCATTATAATATGGGATTAAATTTGCGTGTCCCTTTGAGTTACTAGTGGTATTAGTCATCTTCGCTATGAGTGTCCAGCTGGGTTGCTGAAATTACTGGTTTTCTCCCCAGAAATTCTTTGCAGTGCTCCTGCATTATTTTCTGCATGTTTCTGGTCTTTTTAATACCTCTTAGAATGCTTATATTCTTTTTTTAATTTTTTTTTAAAATATCTGTTAGCAGATGGTTTTAGAGGAAATGTTTTGGGAAAATTTTAGCTTTCCCATGTGGCTTAGATTGCTCAGTCTTTTGGTGGTTCCACTGACTGCAAAGTCAACATCGTTATACTTTTAGAAAGAAATGTTATTATTCATATATAGTTACCTGAAATAAAAAAAAAATCACACTCTCAAAAATGCAAAAAATCCCCCCATTATGATGGATTTGGAGTGCTCTGTAGTTTAGGCACAAATCTCATGGAGTTGCCTCCTTAAGTCAGTTGTTTCCTGTTCTGCTCACATAATGATATACATGAAAGATTAAAGATAGTGGTGTTTTCTTGTGAGTATAGCCCAAGGTGAATTCTGCTGGCTAAATAAATAACTGGATTTAAAAAACAACAAATAAAGGCTAGATGGTGTTTTAAACCATAACTCCAGAGTCAGCTTTCTAAGTTTCCTCTTGGGATATGTACCCAACTTGGCTTAGTTTTGTGGTGGTTTTGGTGGGATTTTTTGTTTTTATTACAATGTGGTACAAAACCCCCTTGATGACAGTCCTAACAGATGAGATCTATGCCAGTAGGGCAGCTCCAGACAGTGTGGGTAAACAGGGAAGATTATAACTTTGATGTGTGTTCCATGCCTAGTGCTGGGGCTGTTGTTGCCAGCATGCAGAACCTCTGTCTGTTACCCCAGGGTCACCTATGGGTGGGATGTCACAGGGGAAGATTCCATGTGGCATGGATTGTGCCTTCAGACATTTCTAGGACCTCATCCTGTTCCCCTCCTTGGCAAGAAATTGGTTTTATGAGTGTAGTCAGTTTGCCTATTTTGGAGCAGAGAAACTGGCAAGTTGGTGCAGTTTTTGCATTGCCAGTGCCCATTCACATTCTGAAAATTGTGTGTTTATGGTACTAATTAGCACTGTACACCTCATTTAAATGAATAATCGACTTTGCTGTTGGCCAAATGCTCCTTCTTTTTTATTTGTGTAACTATGGTTATGTCTCACCAAAATACCTGCTAGCCCTTGACGTTGGAGTTTGTATCTGGACAGTTCTCTAGATTGAGGATGGTAACTTTTTCGCATTAACAGGTTGGTTT